ATGGACTGGGCATGCATCAGCCTCCATGACTCTGAGAACAAACGAGTTGGTGCCAAGCCACCACTACGAACTTCTCCAAAAGGATCCCCATTATAGAGCCTTGCATAGACGGGGAGAGAAAATATGGAACCGAACCCTAATTTAAGAAGAAAAAATATCTATCAAGCTTACTGGTCAGATTAGAGATGGGCAAAAACAGAGACGATTGACCTTGACCACCCTTCAAGCCTGGAACTCACCTCACCCCCCCGCTTCAATTTTCAGTCAAACATTACATGGCCCATAAAAGGAACAATGACACTAGGGAGGTACGCACTCCATAAAATGATCACCCATCTGAGATCAAAGCATTTAGCCAAGGACAAAGAGTAAGAGTGTGCAGAAGGAGGGAGGAATGAAAGCTGGCAATACAGGGAGGGAGTGGAAGAGGAGCCCTGGTGGCGTAGTGGTTACCTTCGGCATCGTCAGAAGTTCTGCCATCAACAAGGTCAGAAGTTCGAAACCACCTGCAGCCCCAAGGGAGAAAGACCAGGTTTTGTACTCCCGTAAAGAGTTACAGTCCAGGAAACTCACAAAGACAGTTCTACCCTGTCCTGTAGGGTCACTATGAGTCAGTTCTGTCTCCATGGCAGTGTGTTTGATTCAGTCCAAGTGGGCTAAGGGGTGTTACGTTCAGGGGACTGTAATCAGTGAGATGAAGTAAATTGTGAACGAAATGTTTCATGGAAGCCTGATCTGCTTTTTAAACCTTCACCTAATTCACAATAAAAGTTACACACACAAAAAAAAACTCTTCCAAAAAAGTATTTTGAAAAGCCAACAACCAATTCCTGAAAAGGAGTTAATAAGCAGTTCACAAAAAAATAAAAATGTAAGATCTGCAAATGGTCAGTAAACACATGAAAAGATGATCAACATCATTAGTCACAAAGAAGATGAATCTTTTTAAATCCACATTCACAAGAATCAGCAAAACTTCTTAAAAGACTAAAATTGCCAAAATATCAGAGAAAATGCATAGCCACTTGATCCTAGTGGAAACCATAAATGTATGGTACAGCCAATGTGGGAAAATGTTTGGCAGAATTTCATATTACGTACATACTTACAGGTGAATTTGCCATGAATCTAAGCCAGCCTGATGGTGACTGTCAGTAACAAAAACACTATTTAGCAATTTTTATATATTGACCCTGCCAAAATGAAAATCTATGTTCACAAAAATACTTGTATAAAAATGTTTGTCTCAATTCTATTCATCATAACACAAATTTGCAAACAACCTAAATGTCCATCAGCGGGAGAACGGATTAAAAAATCATAGTCTAGTCATAATATGAAAAATTACTTGTTAACAAGAAGGAGCACACCAATAATACAGAGGAAAATACTGATAAATCTAAATATATATTGAATAAAAAAATCAGACTGAAAGAAATATAAATAATATGATCATACTTACATGAAATTTTGGTACAAAAGTTAATATATAGAGCTATAAATAAGAACAGCAGTTGCCTGCATGGCACACAGAAATACTGCATATACTCAAGTATAAGCTGACCCAAATATCAGCCGAGGCACCTAATTTTACCACAAAAACTGCATTAAAAAATGTGCTGCACACCAGCCTGTGCAATCACAGGGTGTCAAAGGGATCAGGTACCAGGCATCATCAGAACAAAAAAATC